AGAATGCCAGGGTCATACAGAGCTGAGCTGTTAAAAATCAACCCCTTCTACCCTTCCATACATTTTCTAGATAAGCAAACTGATATGACACTGCACGATTGGACTCTGGAACAGTCAGACTCCAGTGGGAGGCTGTAATTGGACCCCAGTGGATTCCTGGAGGGCTTCCGGTCCCTGCTCTGGAGGTGGCAGTGTGCTCTCCATCTCTAAATCAGGGAGTGGAAAACCTTAGGGCCTAGCTCGGTTCTCAGGTCCAAAGGAAACAAGCCAGGGGCTGTGGCCTCCCAGATCCACCTCTCCCTCTCCTTTTTCTTTTTTTTTAAGATTTTATTTATTTATTTGACAGATAGAGAGAGAGAGCACAAGCAGGCGGAGTGGCAGAGGGAGAGGGAGAAGCAGGCTCCTGGCCGAGCAGGGAGCCCGATGCGGGGACTCGATCCCAGGACCCTGAGATCATGACCTGAGCCATAAGGCAGACGCTTAACTGACTGAGCCACCCAGGCGCCTCTCCCTCTTCTCTTGTGGGCCCGGAACTCTAGCCCCAACTGCATGATCTGGAGCAATCTCCTGAGCTTCAGAATCCCAGCCATCTCCTGTGTTCCCTCCGGAGCAGCATGCACACGTGTCTGCACATGGACACACGCACGCAGACACAGGCATGCTCACCAGCAAGCAGGCAGGCGCCCAGTAGAGCCCGGACGGCAGGCACACACAGCCCAGGTGAGACTAGGCAGCAGTGGAGATGAAAATGACTCTGCTTTGAACACAGGTCTTTCACTCCAGGGAACAGGGAGAGGCAGCCCTAAGCCACAGGCGAAAATGTCAGGCCAGGCTAAGGGCAGAGAAGCCTGGGCCTGGGGACCTGCCCACCCCCTCCTTCTGGCCAGGACTCAGTGCTGGGTCCCCGGGATCAGTTTGGTGGACTCTCGTGTGGCCTTAGCAGGTTATGGGGCGAACATGACCTGCTCGAGAACTGTGACCCTTGGCTGGACTGTGAGGAGGGGCTGTAGCCCATAACTTGGTTGACTTATGGAAGTGGAAGCACGTGTGTGCATGTGTGTGTGTGTCTATCCGTCTGTCTATGTCAGGGTGGGCTTTGATGCTGTGCTCAGCCTTTAAACCCAGAAGAACCCCCAAGCCTGGAAAGGCTTAAAACCAATTTTAGATAATTTGGCTCAGAAGAAATCTATGCACTTAATTTTTTTCTGGTTTAAAAGAAGTACATGCTCAATGTAAAAATAAATATGGGAAACGGAAAAAAACACGGTATAAAAATGAAAATGAAAAGCACCTGTGCAGCCACCGCTGGAGATAATCACTGTGGACGTTTTGGTGGAGTTAGTAGATTACATGCGCATACCACTTTCTTTTCTTCCTTCTCACTCAAGCTGCAGTGAGCATTTTTCTCATGTCATTCCTCTTTGTAAACCCGTTCGAAGGCCTTGTACCATCGGGTTGTTGTACCATAATTTATCTAACTTGTCCCTCATTGTTGGGCATTCAGGTGGCTTTCGGTTTGTCCCTATTGGGGAAACCTGGGCTCATACGTCTTTGTACAGGAAGCTGAGAAGCTCTGCCCAAAGGCACAATCGGAGTGCGGTGGAGGGGAGTGTAATCCAGGAAAGGCTGTGTGGCTGGGTTTCAGTAGCTCGGTGGGGTATACTTTGACTAAGAGGGGATGGCTGGCAAGAGCAGGGGGATGAGTGGGGACCCAGCTGCCCCTGCCCTCCCCTGCCCTGGACAAATGCCCTGCAAATGTATCTACAAGTCTCCAGAGCTCCAGGGCCCGATTCCTGGCCACAAGTATCCTTCCTTTCCTTCTGGGGAATTAGGTGACTGGCCAAGGCAAGGGCTCCTATCCCTCCTTCAGGGCATAGGGCAGGGTGACATTGATGCATTAGTCGGCTTGGAGGGCCTGGGACTGGTCCTTCCTACCCAACCCCGCCGAAATGCCCCTACATACCTCTGCTCACACGGATGGCGACAGGGACCCTTGGGGCTGTAAGCAGAGAGGGCATTGATTAAGACCAGTTGGAGGAGAGGCTAGGGGACTTTTGGGAGCCGCGTCCTAGAATCCCATAGGGTGGGCGAGATGGAGGGCAGGGCACGGACTGTGGCAGCCCAGGGGGCGTTGGGAAGCCAGGGGATGATGCTGTAACTCCACTGTCCATAGGACAAGGAGATGCCTTGCCTTCCCTCTGCCTCCCTCAGGGTGCTCAAGGGGCCATGATAGGGAAGGTGGCACCTCACTGGGTTCTGAGCGGGCTCACGAATCCCTGAGTCTTGACGGGGGCAGGCAGTGGGGGAGTTCACTTCTGCGGGGCCCCTTGAGGCTATGGGATCATGGAGGACTAGTGCCACCATTGACATCAGTGACCATTTAATCCCACCCCTCTTACTACTGATAGGGAAACCGAGGTGCCAGATCAGAGAGCTAATGGGGGTGGGTCAGAGATGGAGCCCCAGTGTACCTGACTCCCAAACCCATGAGCCTTAGGGTCACAGGCCCTTGGACTGCATATCTGTGATTCACATCCACTGGTGGGGGTGGGGGAGGCTGGAACAGGGACTCAAAAGCTGCCCTCGGGAGTCAGAAGAGACCAGGCCCGCTGGGAATCTGCCCAGAGGAGCGCGGGCACGTCACGATAGTCCCCATGGCTCCCTGCATGTTTGACCCCAGAGAGGCAGGAGGAGGGAGAAGTAGTGAAGCCCCTGTGCATGTGAGCTCCACTCCTCCTGAGAACCACTGTCTCGACTCCGCAGAAACTTCTGCCCCAGCTGGGTGACAACCCGGGTAGGACCTGTAACTGCTTTGTGCACCCACAGAGCCCCGAGGGGCAGCGCAGCCCAGAGTCTCCCACACCATCTGTGCCCTCCCTGGGGGAGGAGTTGGACACTTGGGCCACACGCCCTTCTTTAGGTCTCTCCGTGATTCTGTTCGACATTCTTGGATCCCCGGCCCCAGAGGCCACGTTTGTCAGGGCTCAGAGCCTCTGAGGCATGGGCAGCCTCCTCTTGCTTCTTTGCCCCCAGGCAAGCAGCAGCCTCCCTCCTCCCTCCTAGCAGGCCACCCAGGGGATGCTGGCCCCCCCATGGACTCACCCTCAATGCCCCCTCCAGTCTTGCCGGGCCCTCCCCCGCCCCTCACTCTGTCCCACTCCCTGTTATTGCTGGGGCTCGGCTCCGTCTGCAGGTTTCCCAAAAAAACAGCTTTCTAGAATCCAGCCACTTCTCTTGGGCCAGAAAGAGAAATGGCCAGCCTCTGGCTGTGGATTCTTGATGGGGAGTGGGACTGGGGAGGGGGCCTAGACAAACCCATCCCTGGGGGCTGAAATCCCTCCCCACACTTTTCCCTTTACCATCAGGCCAGAAATGACCCTGGGTGGGTGAAGACTGGAGCCCGGAAGGAAGCACAGCAGCCCCTCCTACTTATAATCTGCAATGACATCTCGGCCATCTGGATCCTCAGAACAACCTTGTGGGTTGGGCTGGAATTGTCATCTGCACTTTACAGCTGGGGAAACCCAGAAGGGCACGATTATTTGCCCAAAGTACCAAGGGCAGGACCGACTCTCCGATCTTCAGATTATCAGTCCAGGGCAAGATATGATCCTGTCACCCTTCAACTACTATGGGCCTGGGAGGGAGAGCACAGGGTCCCTGGGGCCACCAGGGCTGCCCCTCTTCTCTCCATATCCCGTTTCTACCTGCCACACCCCAGAGTATGTGTAGGTTTGTGGTAGCCACATTCACAGGCTGCCTTTCCCTCCTTCAGCCAGCCCTGAGCACCTGCTATGCACCCTTCCCAGGTGCTCAGGGCTGGCTGAAGGAGGGAGAGGTAGCCCAACAGGATGTCCACACACTAGCCTATGAGCATATCTATCTACACTTCTAGCTGGGATGTACAAGTCTAGACTTTAATGCTCAGGAGGCCCTGCCTTAGACCCCACAGGATTTCCCAAAACCACAATCCGCCTTAGAGGGGAGATTAGTCTAAGGGGCATCCCCCTAAGACCATAACTGGGGAGAAGCATCTTCCCCTGGAAAGAATGGACAGCTGTGAGCCCGTGGCCTGTGCTGAGCTCTGAGCTAAGTGCGGTCCCATCCAACCCTTGAACAAATCCTCCCTCAGCCCAATATCCCACCTGCTACCAAGTCCTGTCAACATCTCCCCACTATTGAGTTCCAGTTGTCCTCAGCTGACCTGAAGCCGTGGCAAAGCCCCCTACGGGTGTCACAGTGAGCCCATCCCTCTCCAAGCCACTCCCCGCACACAGCCCCAGGAAGACTCCTGGACCCAGATTGCATCCTATCACTCCTGCCAAGACCCCTGAAGCCCTCTTAGACCTAAACAGGGCTGCACGCTCTGGCCCCACACCCCAGCTCACCCCTCCCTCTCTACCCGGAGAAGCACCAGCCTTCTCCCAGGCTCTCGGAGCAAGCATCCTTGATCTGGCCTCTGCCTGAAACGTGTTCTCCCTCCCCCTGCCTTACCAACTGGGTTTCTTCCTTCGGCTCTTGGAGCCAAGCCTTTCCTGCACCTTCGTGTCCATTTTGTCCGTCACTCGTTCTTACATCCCTCTCTGTCCTTCACCTCTGTGAGCTCCGTGAAGACAGTGTGCATCCCCCTCCCTCTCCCTGCTCCCTGCCTTTCCCGCCTCCGTGTCCCCAGCCCCTGCATGGTGCCCGGCAGGGAGCTGACGCTCAGCCATTATGTGTTCACAGGATAGATGAATGAGCCAACTCTGCGAGGTAAGTCCTGCTGCTTTGCCCACTGTGTCGACCAAGAAAAGGACACTCTGAGAAGAGAAGTAGCCAGCTCGAAGCCCCACAGCTGCCTGGTGGCAAAGGCGGGGTCTGAGGGCCCGCATTCTTAAATGCTTCCAGCCCTGCATCCGGCACCCGGGACTCAGCGTCTGTCTGTCTTGCTCACCCAGCAGGCTCTCTGAGGACGGCTCAGCTGGCCTGGGCTCCCCTCCCTGGAGCTGTCCCCCGGAACCATGGAGAGTCTGAGTGAACTGCAGAACCCTCTGCTGCCTCGGAGCCCCGCCCCGCTGCACGGCCGCTACCCCTACCCCGAGGCTTCGCCCAGCTGGTCATGCCAGGAGAAGCTCTACTCCTACCTCCTGGGTGGGCCTGGCCCTGCTCGCACCCACCAGCTCCTGGACCCGGGTTCCCTGCAGCTGGCCGTGGAGGCCTGGTACAGGCCCAGCTGCCTCCTGGGGAGGGACAAGATCAAGGAGCCCAGGGCAAGCACCTGTGAGACCAGCTTCACAGAGAACAGGGAGCTCCAGGCTGGGCCCACGGAGCGGTCCACAGAACCTGGCCAAGTAGAAGAGGATATCACCATCCAGACCGTGTCCTACGGGGTTCAAGAGGAGCTGCAGGGCCGGGAGAATGACCAGGAGGAGGAGGAGGTGAGTGCATGTGTTTAAAATGCAGAGTCCCTGGCCAAGCTCTAGGGCTTGAGATTCGGTGGGCCTGGCTTGGGGCCCCAGCATCTGTATGTTACCAAAGAAAAGGTACTTCTGGCACAGGTGCTGGACATCCATACTCGGAGAAACACACGCTTGGGTTGACGACTTAATTTTTTAAAGCATTTTTTGTTCTTGTTTTCTTAATTATATAAGTAATTTAAAAATACAGAAAACCACTGGAAGAGAATATTATTATTTTAGTGGATGAGGTTCTAGTCTTTTTTCATTCAATGTTTTTCTCCCACCCTACTCCCCCCAAAGATCTCGCTGTACACCATTTTATCACCAGGTTTTTCTCTCTAAGCAACGTATTTCAGTGTGACTCCACATCATTTAACATTTGTCTACAAGGCAATCTTTAAGGGTTCCACGGTATCCCGTTGTACCTTCTCCCATCACTTATAACTCAATCTCCTGGTCATTGGGCAATGAGACTCTACCTCTTCTTTCACAATTACCATCCGATGATGCACACACCTGTACATAGATACCCGCACTCTTTCTTTGTATGCTTGTGCTAATTCCTAAGGAGGGCATCAGTGGTCACAGCTAAGGCTTTGGGTAGAGAGTGCGGAGCCCAACCTGCACTCCCACCTGCAGCAGATGACACTACCTGAGGCCCCACATCCTTGCCACCGGTGATCCTAGGTCTGGTCACAAAAGCCCACTTGTGTTTTGCAGAGTGATATGACCTCCACAGACAGTGAAAGTGAAGACAACTTCGTGGCACTGCCCCCCAGGGACCACCTGGGTCTTACTATCTTCTCCATGCTTTGCTGCTTCTGGCCTCTGGGCATCGCTGCCTTCTACTTCTCCCAGGGGGTAAGAGCATGAGGGGCGCAGGGCATCCCCTCCAGCCCCCTCCCTCCGCCAGAGGGCTTGACCAAAGATGGGGGGGTGGGGCGTGTGCAGGAGGGGGTTGGAGCCCAGCAGGCTGGGGCTGTGCTGTCCGCTTCGGGGATGTCCCTTTCACCAGCACTTCTCTCTCCCTAGACCAGCAAGGCCATCTCCAAGGGAGACTTCCGCCTGGCCAGCACCACCTCCCGCAGGGCCCTCTTCCTGGCCACCCTCTCCATCGCCGTGGGCGCCGGTCTCTATGTGGCCGTGGTGGTGGCTCTGGCAGCTTACATGTCCCAGAATGGTCATGGCTAGCGGCCAGCAGGGCCTGGCATCCTAACGCCCCTGCTGCACCTGAGGAGCACTGGGGCTTGGGGTTGCAGACCTTCGGGAGAGCATGGGCCCCTCAAGACAACCTACCAGCCCAGCTTGTTTGGGGGAGGCCTCCCAGGCTGCAGCCTGCAGGGCTCCGCAGTCCCTTCTTCTGGTCCCTGGCCCCCGGCCCCAGAGCAGAGCCACCCTCTAGCCCAGGCTACGTCAGGAAGCAGGAGAGGGTGGGGCTGCCCACCAAGCCATCCAGGCAGGACCTACCTCTGGCTTGAAGCTGGCTGGGAGCTCAGCCTCTTCTGCCCACACCTGAGAGGGTCACCTGCCCTGCCAGCAGCCAGCTCCCCGGCTCTGCCAGCTTTTCTGCCGAGAAAAAGCAGGAGGCTACCCGAAGAGAAAAGGACACCTGGGGTCAGGGGGTCTGACCCAGTTCTTTCCTCTAATAGGCATCTCCACTCTGGGAAAAATCTGAGCATCCCCAACTCCACTCTCTGGCCCCATGAGGTCAACACCCCAGCCAACCAGGAGGGAAATACACAGAGACACAGGGGCCCCCTAGCTCTTTCTGGCCCTCTCCTGTGGGTTTGTAAGACATCGTAGATTCTAGATAGAGAAGCGTCTCAGGCATGTAAAGTGCAGCCAAGGCAGGTTCTTTGAACTCCCTTGTGTAGGAACAAAAAGCAGATGTGACGACAGAGTCCTGAAACATTGCCAAGCCACGTGGGCCTCCCCCCTCCCCCCCTGGTCCCCACCCCCATCTTCCTTTTCTGGGCTCCCCCTGGGTGGCCCTGAGCTAATGCCATCCCAGGGAGAGAGTGTCATCAGCCCACCAGCCACGAAGCATAGGGCCCCGGATCCAGCCCTGTGGGAAAGCAATGAGGAGAGACCCTGGGACATAGTGAGGATAAATGAGGGGAGGGATACAGGACGAGCATCGCTGCTGAGCAGCCAGCAGTGCTCGGAGGGCTTCCTGGAAGAGGTGTCCCTTGAGCAAGGTCTAGAGGGACGAGGAAAATTTATCTAGGGGATTCATTTTCCCATAATCCTTAGTATTCGTGAACAGGGACATGGCAGGAGTCTCCCGAACTATTTGGATTTTGCCTCAAGCATCTGGGCTAGAGCTAAATTACAGAGGGGCTCTACCAACTCAGAGAAGGAGGTTGGGCAGCATGTCTCTCAAAGACCAGTGATGTTTTCCCACCTCTGAATGCTGGGGGTCAGTGGTGGGCCCCTGGTCAGCCTCCTTCACTGATGTCCCTACCCAGAGCTGCTCTCAACACCCCCAGCCACTAGGGAACAACCAGAATTTTAGAGGCATCCAGGCAGCCGGGAGGGCAGTACATTGGGAGGGCAGGTCTGCCCAAGCTCAAGCAAAGGACCCCACTGTGCAGGATCTGGGGCCCTGATCATTCCCAGACCTCATCCAGAGTCCAGGGCTGTGGATCCTCCCCTGACCCACCTTGTCCCACTGTCCTCCCTACCCACTCCCTGCATCCCCTGAGGTCCCACAGGCCCAGGATCAGCAGTTTTAATATCCCATTATTGTATATATTTATCCTTGTAATAAACATTTCGGTAACACTGGGTTCCCCCCTGGGCCTCTTAGTGTCCTCGTCTGCCTCCACCTTTGCCCGCCGCCCACTGACCTCCGCGACTGACCTCCAGCCCCACGGCTGTTGCTCTGGGCCCTCAGCAGTCTTCTCAAGAAGGCCATAGGAGGAGGGGTGGTCAGGGGACCCCCCCCATCCCAGGACTTCTCTGCTTAGAGTAGCCTGGATGCAGAGTGGTAGTGTGCACCGGATTCCATGCAAGACAAGACAACGCTCATGCCTGAACAAAAATCCTTTCTAGGCTTGAGAGCTTGCAGGTCAGGGGGAAAGGTGAGGCTTCCCTGAGCTGTCTGCAGCTATCAGGAGTGGATGCAGGGCCTGGCGGGCCCCAAGGAGCCCCACTCCCCTGGTGCCCATTCTTTTTTCTTTTTTTTTAAGATTTTATTTATTTGGGACGCCTGGGTGGCTCAGTCGTTAAGCGTCTGCCTTCGGCTCAGTTCATGATCCCAGGGTCATGGGATCGAACCCTGCGTCGGGCTCCCTGCTCGGCGGGACACTGGCTTCTCCCTCTCCCACTCCCCTTGCTCGTGTTCTCTCTCGGGGTCTCTCTCTGTCAAATAAATAAATAAAATCTTTTAAGATTTTATTTATTTATAGATTTTATTTATTTATTTGACAGAGAGGGACACAGTGAGAGAAGGAACACAAACAGGGGGAGTGGGAGAGGGAGAAGCCGGTATCCCGCCGAGCAGGAAGCCCAACGCGGGGCTCGAGGCAGGGCTCGTTGTGGGGCTCGACGCGGGGCTCGACGCGGGGCTTGACACAGGGCTCGATCCCAGGACCCTGGGATCATGACCTGAGCTGAAGACAGACGCTTAACGACTGAACCACCCAGGCGCCCCAGCGTGATCTGCCCTTTCTTGAGTCCTTCGTACCTCCCTCCTGAGCATTGTTCCAGGGCAGTGTGGGGAAGAAGCCCTCTTTGCCTCAGGCCCCAGGCTGGGCACCAAATCTCCAGTACCCTCTTACTTCTAGGCCCCCCAGAAGCCTCACCGGACCAGCCGAGGGACCAGCTTGGTTTCTAGATGACTGTGCACGGAGGGCCCTGGGGGAGGTAGGAGAAGCAGCCCCACACCTGTACGTGCCTCCTGGCAAGAGGGAGCTTTGCTTGCTCGCACACACACGCATGCTGTGTGGGCTGGATGCTCCTGAGACAGAGATTAGCGCCGGATGTGTGTTAGGGGCTGCTCTTAGGATATTGTTTGTGGAAGGGAGCAAGCCCATCATTCCTGCAGGGACCCCGAGGGGCCAGTCACCGCACCTGCCACACCCACCACACAGCCCAGACCCTCAGCTCTTAGCTCCACACCCAGAAGGCTGCTCCCGGGCAACCCTGCGACACTAGGCCAAGGACAAGCCGAAGTGCTGGAGAGCCAACGGTCCTATCAGGAGGCGTTAACAAGAGACAGATGGGAGTTGGTGGGCTTTCTGCCCTCTGGATGGGAGCCCTCTGGCTCCCGGGACTCCCCAGTGGAACTGACCTTCAGTTGCCCACAGAGGCGGTTTGCTGGAGACCATGGCCCTCCCTGGCTGCCTGCCTTCCCCCACCTTCTCCCTCACTCCCCCTACTGTGCTATCCGGGGTCCTCTACCTGCAGTTGAATCCTTCTCTCTGGGTGGACTTCTGGGGGCACCCAAACCAAGGCACATGCATGCACGTACACGGTACACATATGTAGCACACGTGTGTGGACCCATGCACCAGACACGTGCACACACATCCCTGCAGGCCCAGGCAGGCAGCCATGCACACACACACACAGGTACAGCCCACACTGCAGGCCCACTCTCACAGACGCACCCACACATGTGGCACACACACGTGTAAGGGGTGAAGGAGACACAGCGGCTGAGGACTGTTCCCTGGCCCTGCCCACTGTGCAGTCTCACCCCATGGCCAGCCTGGCTGGGCCCCAGAATGGGCAGTGGGCAGCACACACAGCAGTCCAGACCCTGCTTGGGCGGGCAGGCCACCGCACAGCCCGCATGATACCCGCCTCCTGCCCCACCCTCCAGAATGCTGCTTCCAGGCCTCGAGACAGGGGAGAAGAAGCCAGATGATTTCCTATGTTCACCCCGGTCCCACTGCCCCACCTTTGTACCAGCTCCTTTACCCCAGGAGCAAATGCAGGCTTTGCAGGAGAAAATGAAATCAGAAACAGAGCCCCCAGAGGCTTCCCTCCTACATATCCCCCTAGAGGGGCCCATCCTGGGGAGACCGGGCTCCTCCTGATCAGTTCCTGCAGCAGGGGCCGGAGGTGGGGGGAGCTTCCTGGTCCTGCTGAGGCCTGCCTCTGGGCGCGCCTGGGGCATTTTCAGCCTCCTGCTTCCCAGCTCTGCCTGAGGCTCCTGGGGGTGGGGGGAGCTTGCTGGTACCCCCCCCCTTCAGGCTGGCTCCTCGGGCTGGCAGAGAGAGGCTGGGGCCAGGGAGGGTCCCCTGGGTAAAGGTGCCTGTGATGAGCCGCAGTGCCAGCACATCTGTGCAAATATTACCAATTATTTTCCTCACTATAAACACCCAGCAGGAAGGCAGGGAAGCAACCAACCCAAACTGTTTAAAATAGAAATCGAAATTGCTGCACAGGGAAGTTGGACAGCAGGCAGAGAAGGGGCCCTGCACCAAGAATCTGGGATCCCCCCACCCCCTCCAGCTGCCCTTCAACTGCACCTGCTCTTACTGCCCCCGCCCTGCAACTCCACCCCAACTGTCTCCTCCGCTAGACAGGCAGAGCATAGGGGAAAGTCCTCGTCTGTGGGCTGGGGGCTAGGAGGGAGGGGGGTGCCAAGCAGGCCCCCACGGGGGAGGGAAGACGGCTGAGGGAGGTGGCCACAGAGGACCCAGCACGGAGGCTGCCCAGCCCAAGCTCCTGCCCCGGCCAGACCATGGAGCCACGGTGCTGTGTGAACAGGAGCAGGGGGAGGAGGAAGCCTCCCTTGTAGTGGCCACGGGCCTTGGGAGACTGGGCCAAGTGGAAACAGTGACCTGCCACCCACTCCGAGTGAAAGGAATTTTTCTGGTGGTGGAAATGGCGAGAAAGCTGCCCCCAGGCAGCCTTTCCCGTCCCCCCCTCCACAGCACAGGCCGGCAGTCAGCAGGTCTCCCATACACTCCCACGGCTTGTCAAAATGTCGAAACGTGTCCATAGCAGTTGTTAAATAGGCCCTGCCCCAAGCCCCCCAAAGGTTTCCCTTTCCTGACCCCCCGAGCCCTCCCCCAGAACCCCCCAGCTGGCTGCCCCGGAATAGAGAGTTAACAGCCGACCCAGCAGTCCCCTACCCCAAATGCACTGGTCCACGCCTGGGCTGCCCTGACCGTTAGATACCTCTAACTGTGGCCTTGCCCACCTCCCAGGAAGGGGGCTTGAGGCAAACCCGCCCC